TTTCTTTCTTTCTTTCTTTCTTTCTTTCTTTCTTTCTTTCTTTCTTTTTCTTTCTTTCTTTCTTTCTTTCTTTCTTTCTTTCTTTCTTTCTTTCTCTTTCTTTCTTTCTTTCTTTCTTTCTTTCTTTCTCTTTCTTTCTTTCTTTCTTTCTTTTTCTTTCTTTATCTTTCTTTCTTTTTTTCTTTTTCCTTCCCTTTTTCCTCTCCTCCAAGGAATTTCTTCCCCGAGCAAATCGCCGCCGCAGTACGAACCGTCGTTATTTAAAAAAAAACCAAACAAACAAAACAACAAACTCAAACCCACCCTGAAACTGCGAACACGATCTCGGGGCTGGGCCAAGGGAAATGCCCGAGAGCTTTGACAACACCAATAATTAATGTCGCTAATTAATACTGTGAATTAATACACAGAATTGCCAGAATGAGGGACAAGATCGCGCTGAGTAAAACCTCTGGGAGAAAAAAACACACATTTAGATATACTCAAATATAGATATACAATTTTTTTTCACTAGTTTTGTTTTAATTTCAGCCTCTTTCAAACGACTTTGGCCCGACCGCAGCTCCTGCCCGGAAATCGCGGCCGGTTTCGCTGCTTTCGATCCGCGCGTGGCCGCGGAGCGACGGGGAAAAGGCGCCGCGGCCGCGGGGAGGTTTTAGGGGATCGGAAGCGAAGGGATTGGCCGCAGTAAAAAGGGGGAAAAACGGGAGTTTGGAGCTCCAGGCTCCTAGTGGCTCCTCCCGGCCCGGGGAGTCGGAGAAATATTCGGGAAAGGAGAGAAACCCTTCTTCCCGCTGGGGAAAAAGAAAAAGTGGGGTGTTTTTGTTTTGGTTCGGGTTTTTTTTGCTTAAATTTCTTAAATTTTTTTTTTCTTAAATTATTATTTGATTTGATTTTAATTTATTTTTCTATTTTTTTAGCACGTTAATAGGGTTGCACCCTGATGATCCGTAAGGTCCCTTCTGATCCAAAGCGTTCTGGCATTCCACGAAATGCGGCCAACTCCGGCCGCCGGTGCGGAGCCTCCCGCGCCGAGGGGCCACCGCCGGCGTGCCCGGCTCCGCGGGGGCTCCGCGGGGGCTCCGTGTCCCGCACCGTGTCCCGCACCGTGTCCCGCAGCTCCCCGTGCCCTGTACCTCCCCTCCCCGCACCGCGCCGCCGCCTTATCAGCGCGGCGGGGCCGCCTCGCTCCGCCCGCCGCTGTTTCCCTGTTTGCTCCCAACCTGCGCGTCAGAAGGGGCCAATAAACCTCCCGCCGGTTAAACATTAAATGGGGTTCCTCCCCCCGCCCCCCCCAAGGAGGAAAGAACCGCGCACAACCCCCCCCGTGGCCGTGGGGTCACCCAAATGCTGCTCCCCGAATCCCCCCCGGGCTCTGCTCGTCGCCTGCCCGGGAGGGACCCCCAGCCCCGGGGGCCGTAACAGGGGCTTTTCTTGCGGCCTCTTTTCTTTTTTTTAGGGCGTGGGGGTGTGTGTCACATTTCGGGTGGGTTTTTGTTGGGTTTATCTTTTTCTGGGTGTACAACATGGGGGTGATATTTTTTTTCCTTGTCCTGTCAATCGCCACTGAAACCATAAGGGAGAGATAACAGAGAAGAGAAAACTCTCGGAGTGACCTTTGAATCAATTTGAAAAACCTCATTTAACTGATAAGTCTTGAAAGGCCCAGAACTAATTTGAAAATACATCTATTAAAATCTCATTGCCGCTGCCTGGGAGCTGCTGGGAAGGGTGTGCGAGGCGACTTCCCGGGGTCGGGGGAGCCGGGAGAGCAGGTTTAAGCCCTGGTCAACAAAGAGATTGCAGAGCTGCCTGCAAAATGATGGGGCTTAAACGAGGAGAAAAAATAAGAATATTAAATGAAAATGGGTTTTTCTTCCCCAGCTGGTAGGGAAAGGGGAGATTTACAGCATTTTCCTGCCATAACCAGGCGCGGAGTCTGAGAGTGCAGACAGAATATTGGATTTTTTTTTTTTTTTTTTTTTTTTGTTGGGTGTTTTTTTTTTTTCTTCTTCGTTCAGAAAACAAATCCAATATTTTCTCATTCTGCTCAGAGGCAGCTGCAGGGCTGGGGGGAGCCTGTGGCTCTGGAGGGGCAGCCGTGCAGCTCTGTGCTCCCATGGCTGGGTTTTCAGCCCAGCTTCCTCGGTGCCAAAAAAGCAGGGATGGGGAAGGCAGGAGGAGACCAGAGGCAGGGCCCGGGCGTCTGTTTTCCTGCCATGGGAACATCTCACCCTGCCCTGGGCATCACCTGGGTGTAAAGGAAACAAAAATCCCTGCAGGAGCTTCCCAGGGCCCCTCAGGCGAGGCCGTCCCAGGGCCCAGGGCAGGGTGTGAGGGCTGAGCTGCAACACTCACCAAAAATAAGAGGGGAAATTAAAGTAAACCCCATCAGAAAGGATGGGGTTTGAAAGGTTTGAAAGGATGGGGTCTTGGCAGCTCGGTGGGGATTTGGAAATCCAACCTGTCCTCCTGCTCCAGACCTTGGAGTATAATTTGGGGCTCCACTGCCTCAGGATGGGCTCTGCTCCCGGTGGGAATCGCTGCCTCCCTGGCTCTGGCAGAGGCTGGACCCATCATCCAGCCACTAGAAGAGTTTCCCCCCATGTGTCTGATTCCCTGAGGTTTCTTGGGAAGGTTCAGGCAGGAGCCTGGCACCCTGACTAGGGGATGGAGGCATCAGGCAGCTTTGTTCTACCCCCACCCCATATCCACAGACCCACTCGGCTCAGTCCCAGCTCCTTTCTGGAGTTGAGCTGAGATGTCCAAATTGCTGAGGCTCAGCATGAAGCTGAGGCTTAAAGGAACCCAGGATGAGTCCCATCAGCCTGGGATGTGTCCCATCAACCCAGGATGGACGTGTCCCATCAACCCAAGATGTGCTCTTGGCCATTGCCCTGCTCCTGCACAGCACCAATGGCAGCATCGAGGGGTTGGGGCCAAGCCCTGCCTTTGAAAACTGGCCAAAAAGGGAAGTTGGAGCCAAAAATTTTCCCCTCCAGCCCATCCATCCTGAGCCAAAAGCGGTGCAATGAGAGTGATGCAGGAATGTGCAGTGGCAGCGAGGGGCTGGGGAGCAGCTGGCAGCAGGTCTTGGCAGGGAGTGCATTTATTCCTGGCTCTGTGCAGGGCCGTGGCCATCAAGCAGCAAATTTTGCTGATTTAATGGAAATTCAAGAATCTCGTTAATACCTCGAATGATACAGAGCATCTCCAGCAAGATGTAAACCAGGGCAGGGTTGGACAGGAGAGAAATGGATTTTTAAAACATTGGGGGTCGTTAAATAATAGCGAAACAAAAAGGCAACGTGGATTCTCCGGTGCTGGAAGGAGGGACCACTTAAAAAATAAAGACCCAATATTAAAATTGAGGGGCAGGATTTCAAGGATGACCTCAATAACTCAACCTTAACACACAGATATGTTCCGTCAGGGATCTGCACCGACACTCTGAGTACTGCTGGTTTCTGCAGTGCAAGAGGAGGAGGTTCAGAAATCATTTTAAAGGGATTTGATGGGGTTCAGGGTGTTCAGTGAGTGGAGAAGTTGGGGTTCCAGGTGTTTCACAGGTGGTGAAGTCGGGACACAGAGAAGGCAACGATTTGTCGGGGCAAAAACGGGGCTCTGGCTGCAGGATGCTCATATTCCCTGTCTCCATCCCACTCTGGGTACCAAATTTTTGCCCCCTCATTTGGGATCAGAGAATTCTTCCTTCACCTTCTCATCCCCAGGGTTTTGCCTCCAAGCCCATCCCTGCAGGACTCTGGTGCTCCAACCAAAGCCTGCCCTGGTTTCCTCCACCTGGGAGGACTCGGTGTCACCGTGACATGAGTTTGGGGAGCTGGGGATTGGAATTTTGGGGAGCTGGGGATTGGAATTTCAGGGAGCTGCAGGTGGAATTTTCTCCTTGGTCTCTAACCCAGGGAATGGGAGATGCCACCACCACTACCCTGTGTTGGACACGACCTGGACCCGCCGTCCTGCCTCGGTTCTGTGTCTCTGTGATTGTCCCTCTACTTCTGCTCCCAAACCCAAGGCACAGAAATCACCACCACGAGTGAATCCTCTGGGATATGGGAAGCCTTGTCACCCCTGAGAGACTGGGGGTGGCTCAGCTCTGCCCAGTCTGGGAGAAGGAGGTGGAAAATCCCTGCACGGAGCAGAAGCCTGAAGAGGGGAAAGCGGGGGCTGCTGTGGGAAGGCTGGGATTGGCTGAATCTCCTTTCTTGTAGGAAAATCCCAACATCCTGACCAGAAAAAAAATGAAGGAAGAGCAGGTTGCAGCTTTCTCTGCTGCTGCTGGCACGGGCAGTGGTACCAAGGCAGGGCTCTGCAGGACGAGGCAGTGAGGGGAGCAGGGGGCTGCTGGTCTCCCACCCAGCCCGGAGGAGAATTGAGGTCTCCAGCTGTTGGATGAACCCAGGGAGCCCCAAATATTGGGGGCTGGCAGGGTTGGGATGTGCTGAGAGGGCTCAGTGTGTGGCACAGCTCTGAGGACACAGCTGGGAACATGATGCATCAGGTTTGGCTGTCAGGGACTCTATAAAACCCCCAAATACGCCAAAATTAGCAGAAACACCTCATGCCAAAGTCTTCAGAGGTGATGGTGACCCCAAGGAACCCCCACAGCAGCGCCTGGCACGGGGAGGGCACAGTCTGGGGAGGCCAAGATCCTTGGCAAGGTCGGCTCTGGCCGCTGGGAACCGTCCCAAAACCTTGTCCCCCCTCCCCACACCAAGTGGCCAAAGGGACACGAGCCGTGACGTGGGTTGAGAGGTCGAGCCTCCACAAATCCCCCCCGCGCCTCAGTTTCCCCGAGGAAGGAGCGGGGATGAGGCTGCTTTGGCAGAGTGTGGGTGAGGAGAAGAGCACCGGGTTATTAAATCCCAGGAACTCCGGGGTGCCACGGAACAGCTGAACCTTTCAGCTGGAGATGAGCTCCGGGGGAGCGATGCCCCCTCGCTCCTCTCGGCCGATAAAGAGCAGGTAACGAGCAAACTCTCTCCATTAGGGATAAATTTGCAAGTGTATTGGGAGCTGCTGACGGGCGATACCATCAGGGGCTGACAGAGATATCAGCGGCTCGGCTCTGCCGCCGGGAATGCTGCTCCCGCTGCGGAGCATCCCAGAGCCCGGCACAGGACTGGCGGACACAACATTCCACCCCTCGGAATCTTTCTGGGGGTCTGGCCCTACTCTGTGTTTTTTCCCAATTTTTGAGGGTCTCTTGTTTGCCCTGGGCCATCCCCTGGATAAATTACAGGAGAGGATCTCCACTGGGTTTTACTGGGTGGATGGACAAGTATCTGGTCCAGTTTGTCCCAAAGATGATGCTTGATGTGGTTTGTGCTTCCAAATCCCCCCTGGGATGGGGGGTCCCTTCCCCGTCTCCCTCCCGGCTCGCAGGGGGTGAGGAGGAGGAGGGAGGTGGGATGGTGGCACTGCCGGGCTTCGGAGTCTCCCCAAGGGAGGGCCTCTGGAAATGGATCCCTGGATCAATGCCTGATGTTAATTCTCTTTTTGGGGGCCAAACTTGAGGATTTTAATGACATTTCTGAAGTGGAAGGCAGCGATCCCGATATTCCCTGATATTCCTACCCTGATATTCCCAGGAGAGCTCCTGCACAGGAGGTTCCTGCTGGATCCCCCAAAGCCACTCACCCACACAGGGGCAGCCAGAAAAAAAGAGAAACTGGAAAACAAATCATCCAAATCAGGGCACTTATTCAAGGAGTGCTGGTTTCAAACCAGCTTGCTTTGCCTGGAGAAAACTTGGAAGCATGTCCCCAAAGCCGACACAGCCTTTTCCACCCCAAATCCGTGACTCCCAGTCAACCCTCTGCCTCCAGCACCTCCGAGGAAAACACAGAGGATTTATTTGCTCCGCTTTTTGACGCTGTCCCGAGGCAGCTGCCCCGCTGGTGGGTGCTGGGGGTGAGCTGGGTCCTTCAGCCTCGGGGCTGGGGGGGGTCACAGCTCCGTCACCCTCCTGGAAAAGGGACCTCAGGGGGACATTTGGGGAACTGGGGGGCTCAGACGTCCCTCCCAAACTCTTACCCCGGGGCTTTTCCGGGGTGTTTGTGGAGGGTTTGTGCTTCCCCCAGACACGGATTCACTCCAGCGGGGTCCCGGGTGCCGGGGGTGGGACGGGGCAGCTCCTGGGCAGCGTCACCGTCACCTGGCAGAGACTCCCTTGGGTGCCTCCTGTTCCTCAGGAACGGGACAGAA